GTGATGGCGCACACCTTTAATCCCAGTACTTGGGAGGCAGAGGCAGTGAATCTTAGTGAGCTTGAGGCCAGCCTGGTCTACAGAGCTAGTTCTGGGATAGCCAGGACTGTTACACAGAGAAACTCTGTCTGGGAAAAAAACAAAACAAAACAAAACAAAAAAAATATTTGCTTTTCTTTCTTTTGGGGATTTGGGAGTAGAAGGCATACAATCAATCAATCCCTTAGAATTTCATTGAACATTGTAATTGCTCCTTAAATGATTAACCAATCATGTATGTATAAAAATAATTAAAGACCAAAAGACTATGACTGTGGAAGAGAATTGAGGGGGTTGGGAGGGAGAGTTGATATATTTTCATTAACTAAAAAGCAAATTATAGTTGCTGTTGGGAAGACATTTTTTGACATCAATCTCTTGCAGGGGGCTATGATTTTGACTTCACTGAGCATCCAGTGAAGGTCACAGGGGAAGGATGCTTTCTCACCATGCCTTCTCTAGCTCCTCTCAAGCAGGTGGCTGTGGGTGGACTACGGCTGTGTGGGAACCATGGAAATGAGCAACAACAACATTCCTCCCTGTGGGGCTGCTTTGGCTGCCTACCGATGGCAGCACTTGTAACTTGGAGTAAACTGAGGAAGTATGAAATAGTAAATGGGAGAAATGTCAAATCAATCCTTGAGAATTTTTTCTGTGGGAGAATATTAGTAATAAATACATTGAACTGTCTCTTAAAACGAAAAATGTCCTTGGGACATTCAAGTTATTTTCCTAAATTCATTTTTTTGGGAAATGTTTTAGATAGCAGACAAAATCATTACTATGTAATTAGTGCCTTTAAGGTCAAGTTTGTGGTGAGATTTTTGTTACATATACAAGTACCCCTTTATAGCATATATTTTAATATTTTCTGTTTTAATGCTTGAAACAAAAGTTTATGTTCTGGCTGAAAATTGTTCATTAGAAACGATTTAATCAGGGCTGGAAGGAAAGAACAGCTCTTAGAAGTTCTCGCTACACATGCATGGGCCGAGTGCAGGGTTTCACACACAGAGACCAACTGCAGAAATGCTTAAAAGATGACTTAATGGTATGAATAAATGATCCATTCATGAGGATGAAAATTCAAATGCTACCAAATTTTTAAGTGAAAATTCTACCTCTGTTCCTGCCACCTGGTTTTCATCCTTATACTAACAAAGAATCCTATATTGCCCTGTAGGCATCATATTTACATACATAAAATGCCACCTACTTAAAGAAATACAAGTGCTATCCGTCTGCATATTACTGTGTTTTTACTTTGATGCATGTCTTGGAGAATGTTTTACAGAAGCCTGTCTCTTATTTTTATTTTTATTTATTTATTTATTTAAAGCCTTATATTGGGAGGCTGAAGCAGCTGCTCAGCAGTTGAGTATGTTTACTGTGCCCAGTAGTAGTAGTGCCCACCTTTAATCCCAGCACTTGGGAGGCAGAGGCAGGCAGATCTCTGTGAGTTGGAGGCCAGCCTGGACAACTGGTATAGGAAGTTCTTATGTATGTGTGTTGCTTTTATTGATGAATGAATAAAACTGCTTTTGGCCAATGGCTTAACAGAGTAAAGGCAGGTGGGAAATAGAGAGAGAGAGAGAGAGAGAGAGAGAGAGAGAGAAGACAGTCAGGGAGATGCCATGTAGCCACCACAAGAGACAGATGCCTCCGCCATAGCCCACCAAAACTTGGCTGATAGGCCACAACCTCGTGGTGATGCACTGATTAATGGAGATGGGTTAGTTTAGGATATTAGAGCTAGCTAACAATACACTTAAGCCAAACAGCAGTGCAAATAATATAGTTTCTGAGTGATCATTTAGGGTCTGGACAGCCGGGAATGAACGAGTGGCCTCCACCAATAGACAAAAGGCGAGTTCCTGGACAGCCAGGGCTGCATAGAGAAACCCTGTCTCGATAAAGCAAACAAACAAAAAAGAGTGCTTACTGATCTTGCAGAGTACTCTGGTTTGATTCCCAGCACCCAGATAGTGGCTCACAACCATCCTTAACTCCATTTCCGGGAAATTCAAAGTTCTCTTGACCTCCGTGGGCACCAGGCTAGCACATGGTACACATACATATTCGAAGAAAAAACACTCATAGGTACAATAAAAATAAATCTTTAAAATATATAACATTATTTGACTTGCTATCATTTATTACAATACCATATTCCTAGTATTCTATAAAATGGTGTGTGTGTGTGCGTGTGTGTGTGTGTGTGTGTGTGCACAGTAACTATAATAACACTGCAGTGGAAACCTTACCCCTGAGTGATTTCACATACAAGCAAGTATGTCTCTGGGACATAATTCTGGAATTTGCTAGGTCAATAGTTATGTACCTTTGAAACTTTGATAGGTGTCACGTAGCTTGTCCTGATGGGAGCTGAAACTGGGCTCCTGTTTCCTCACGTCTTTGCTATCATTATAACTAAGCTTTCTGACCTAACAGGACAATGGCGACATTATGAGTTTCTATTTTTCCCAATATGAATAAAATTTAGTATTGATGTTTAAGAGATATGCATTTCCTTTTTCTGGAAGATAGCTTTTTCATTTTTGGTTGGTTTATTTTTTCCGTCATTTTTTCCCCCTTTGGGGCTTAGTCCCACTAATTCATAGGATCACATCTATAGATTAGGGAAATCAACTCAGAAAATGAATTGCTATAATTGTGAGTTTTTTTTCCTAGTTTATCACTATTGCCTTATAGCTTGGCTTGTGGGATTTTTTTTCTAGGCATTAAGAAATAGATCTATCGGTCTAGATGTTTGTCTCATATAAAAGCTTTCTTTGTTTGCTTTTAGGTCATAAACCTTTTTTGTACATGTGAATCTTTGACATAGTGCGATTTTTTTTTGACTGTGTAGAGTGTGAGATATGGATTCAACCATTTTTGTTGTTTGTTTTTAAATGGCCACTTATCTAGTTGAGAAACTTTCCCGGTGTCATTCTTGGATCCTCCACATCACGTGGATCACATTTCTGTTTGCCAAGCCCAGAGATCACAGGGCAGATGCCTGCAGAGACTCGGCAGGTTATATAAAAGGGGGAAGAGTGCCAGAGAGGGAGGACAGCCAACTGGAAATGGGTGGCACACTTGGGTAAAGAGGACAGTCTCTCTGCTGCCTGTTGGCTGCTGCTTTGTACAGATGCAGTAGGCCACGGTATTGCCAGATCTTTGTGCAAAGACGCTGGAGATACACTTTAAAAAGTAAGCCGTTGAAAATGGTAATAGCAGTTTAAAATTTTTAATACTGGCTTGGCCAAAAAAAAAAAAAAAAAAAAAAAAAAAGCATCTCCAGGTCAGATTTGGCCCAGAAGAACCTTCCAATCCAATATCTTTTGCCAAGAATAAAACTTCCTACTAATGACTTTCCTATGAGAAAATATAATCACAGTCTGATAATTTGACAGCCTCGTGTTTCATAGCTGGGGTCTGTAACTGTAGGGAAAATTAAGGATGCTCTATAAAATAGAGTGTATTTAGTACAAGGGAATGTGGACATGGCCATTTATTAGAAGACCTTTAAAATTTTTATTATTATTGTGCGTGCATGTGCGCACATGAGGTGGGGGGCAGGGAGGGGAGCGTGCCACATTTCAGATGTAGAGGAGTAGGTTCTTTGCTCCTTCATGTGGGTTCCAAGAGTGAAACTTGGGTGTCAGCTTTGTGCCGCCGGTGCCTTTACATCGATAGCCCAGAGGACTTTTTTGACACAGTGGATACTTAGATTAAAAAAACAAAAAAACTATCCTTCTTTGTGGAGACAAAATGGTGTATGTTTGGGAGAACAATGCTTGGCTCCCGATTCTGGAACTGAGATTATGGCACAAGCTATCTTTTACAGTCCGTCCTTCGTTCCCTTTCTCGCTGCTGATAGCTGGGTGCTTGCTTGACTGTTTGCCTCTTGGGAGGAGTTTGTTCAGCAACTTTGGTGGGATGAAATTTGGGCTAATGATAAAGTTTCCTGAGTTCATGCCTCTTCGACTCAGAAAAGCTTAGGGTCAGAGGATCTCTTCTGGAGCTAATTAGTATGGCTGTATCGCAGGATCTAGGTTCTATAGAACCTGAAGTGGAAAAGATTTGAAGGACCTCATTAACAAAAGAACTAGATTTGAAAGTTTTATGAAGCTACCCGTTTTGATATACACTTAGGTGAAATGCCTCGTACTGAAGTCGTCTGGCCCCGAAACCGCGCGCTAAAACGCCCTCCAGGCCCCCAAAACGTGATTTTATTAAACAGCTACCCTCTCCCAAGTATATAAAGGAGCCATGTAGAGCACAAATTAAATATCCCAGCAGACAAATGTCCTTCTCTCTCCACATCCGTGTACCGCCTCCCGGTGCTGCAGTCACGGCTCCCCCAGAGCTGCACCGAATCAGACTGGTCTGCCAGGGCTCGGAGCGGCGGAGTGTGTCTGGAACAGCCCCCACCCCGCCCGGCGGCGCACATTCCCAGGAGAGACCGGCTACCCTCCCGGCCCCCGGGCCCCGCACCCGGCGCCTCGGCCCGCTCCGCGGCGCGCATGCTCCGTGCCGGCCTTCTCCCTAGACTCGG